CGAGACCGACCCGAGAGTCACTTCCAGCCGTGACCTCTGCACGATTTATCGCAAGCAGTCTTCTGGCATAAGTCCTGTTTTGGAGCAGCACCGCTGCAGCTTGCAGAATGGAGGAGAGATCCCATAATACTGATATTGGGCCTGGGTACTCCACACTCAGTCTTGTGGCTTCATGCTGGCCGAAAAGTGGAGAGCAGCCAAGCACCCTGGGTTCAAGGATGCCTAGGATTACATGTCAAACCCTGCTCCCTTTACGTTCTACGTCCTATGTAGGTGTATAGGTAGAGCCGGTAGCGCATTGTTGCACTTGTTTTTTTCAGCAGAGAGGCTTTCGTGGGCTGGCACGGGCACACTTTCTATCGTCCCAGGACTGAGCTGCAGTTGTATGGAGTATGGTTGCTGCTGCCTTTTTATGGCAAGGTGCGTCTAGCACATGGCTCACAGTTGGGGCTTGGTTCTTGGGTTTAAGCTCAGCTTGTCGTGTTTTGTGCTTGTCGTGTTTTCTCGTGCGTGTGCTGGCTGTCCTTGAGGGAAGTTCTACGGTAGATACATGGGAATAGGAAGGTAGCAGAAGGTTCGACATGTGTTTCGATCCTTACTCTACCCACGGCCTCGAGACCCCAATGCTCAGAGTATATGTTACCTGCTGCAAGTTGTCCCTCACTACTTGTCAATAGGAGACCGTTTGGCAAGTGCTGCACTTTGAGAAGCACTGTGAGTATGAACCTTCAAACACTGTAAAGCCCTGAATACCCTTAGTCAGTACGCCTTGAATCCTGCCAAACGCTTAGCCCTAAGCCTAGAAATACCGACATGTTCATGTTGAACCGCCCTGAAGACACAATTGGCTTAAGGCAAGTTTCCGGTTGCTCCGCATCTTACGACTTTGCAGACATGGCCGCACCAAGGCAGGTTCAGATGGATTCCATCGACGAGAGCAAGGTGAGCTCCATGTGTTGGGGGGGTTGTGGTCTTTAGGGTCTTGTGGTGTAAATTTAAGGTTGCGTGAGTATAGTTAAATACCTACTTATGTGCAGGTGATCGTTCACCACGCTTGCTGCTGTTGCTACGACGGCTGCGTGCCAGAGTGCAACAACATCGGCTGCGCAGCGCAAGAGACGTTCTTGTGCTGTGAGGCTGACATTTGCTTCAAGACCGGCTCGCCTTGCTTGTGCTGCGGATGCTGCGCACTCCGGTGTGTGTGGCCTACAACCTGCTGCAAGACGCAACTAGGTAGGCCATTGGGAGATTTAGTGTATTTACCGGTTTCGGATGTCTAAGAGGGGCATGTTGCTTTATGCGAGCAGCAACCTAGGCAAACCCAGCTCTGTTGCTGTGTGGCGGGCTCGGCACTCCCTCCGGACGACGAAGTACCTTGCCTGGTCAACATGTGCTTCATCAACTGCTTCCCCCAGCTTGGCATCTGCGCCAGCCTCGGCAGCATGAAGAAAGGTGCCTCCATGCAGTTCGAGTCTGAGGGTTCGTACGCCTGAGGCTTGAATTGTCTTCCCAAAGTTTTGGGTTTTACTGGTCTCCGAAGCGAGACCGACCCGAGAGTCACTTCCAACCGTGACCTCTGCACGATTTATAGCAAGCAGTCTTCTGGCATAAGTCCTGTTTTGGAGCAGCACCGCTGCAGCTTGCAGAATGGAGGAGAGATCCCAAAATGCTGACGCAGTTGCCAAGAAGCGGTGACTCTCAAGTCTCTCTATCCATCTATCTATCTGTCTATCTATCTATATCTGTCTATATATAGAATGTATATATATTTATATATATATATATTGTTTGTTTATGTAACTATTTATTTATTTGTCTATCTATCTATATATATATATGTATTTATTTGTTTATTTAGAATACACCAAATCAAACCAAAACCCAAACCCTACCTGGTGAGATGCTGCACTGCATCCTGTCGGAGGCCTTCCGCCAGCAGGGCAGCTACGCCTTTGCGAAGGAGGCCACGCTCCTGCTGTTTAGGGTTTAGGGCTGCCTCCTTTTCAGGGTTCCCTCAGATGTTTTACAAGAGTTCTATGGGCTTGTTGGGCTTTAGGGTTGGGTGGTAGTTAGAGTTAGAGGGCATTCTTACTCAGAATCTGGGCAGTACCGCATGATGTTAAGCATGTTGAGAGTAGCTCTGTTCTGTGATGGTGTCGACGAAGGAGTATGCATGTAACAGCACATGCATGGATCACAGGCTAGTCTTAGGCAAAGAACAAGGGAGTCAGCAAGTGCCTAAACCCTACACCCTAAACCCTAAACCACGACGACGTTCAAAGCAGCAGCATCGGCAGCAGGATGCAAACACGCAGCAGCAACAAGATTCGCAGAGCTGCGGCTACCAGCTAAACCCCAAACCCTAAACCATCTTAAACCCTAAAACCCGAATCCAAGCCCTAAACCTTAAAACCTAAACCCCAAACCCTAAGCCCTCAAGCCTAAACCTAAACCCAAAACCTTAAACCCTAAACCTTAAAACCCAAACCCTAAAACCTAAACCCTAAGCCTCCAACCCTAAACCCTACATCCCAATCCATAAAGCTCTGCACGGGAACCCTGAACTTCTCAGTCCGACCCTCCAAAATGTAGACTTGCTACGGTTTAGGGTTCAGGGTGTAGGGTTTAGGGTTTGGGGGCTTGGGGTGCGTAGTAACTCATCGAATCCTTGGCCTGGTATACTATAGTAGAGTAGGCGACCGTTGACCTTCTTGGGTACTATAATCCCTATATATTCCCCCGTATGCTCCCAAAGATGAACCTCTTGTTCCCCAGGATACCCGACGAGTAAGATGGTGCAAGTACTGCTCCACGTAACTTGTGGCTGATAGGTAACTACAGCCACAGTTCTCCTCCTGCTTCTTTCCAGTGCACAATTCCTTTGATCCTTCACTAAGCCCTAAACCTCCTAAGCCCTAAACCCCCGAAGCCCTAATATGGGGGCCTAAATAATAACTAACACTATTTTGGGGTTTCTTAATTATGGTATACCCCAAGAAACCCTATTCGAATTATTATGGCCCCTACATTATGTGCTAACTTCCCTGATGCTCCAAGCCTCGAGTCCTCTGGCCTTTCCAGAGGGTCCAAGTACCCAAAGTGAGTAAGGATAGGTTTAGGGTTTAGGATTTAAGGTTTTGGGTTTAGGGTTTAAGGCTTTGGGTTTAGGTTTCAGGGTTTAGGGTTTATAGGGTTTAAGGCTTTGGGTTTAGCAAAATCCATGCTCTGACAGTTTTGGGGGCCTTGAGAAACCCTAAACCCTAAACCCTATCTGAGTGCTTGGAGCCTTCGGGTTTGCCAACCTTGGAACTCCAAAGGGTGAGCTCCTAGATGATTAGGGTTTAGGGTTTAGGGTTTAGGGTTTAGGTTTTAGGGTTTAGGGTTTAGGGTTTAGGTTTTGGGCACGAAGAGATAGTCTATCCCTTTTGGGCACAGAATGGCACAGGAAATTCCGGCCCATTGCAGAGGCTGTGTTAGATTTGTCGAAGCAGTATATATTCATGAAACGTAGAGTGTAGAATTCATCTAACATAAACCTAAGAACCTAAGCAAGAGCGTTATGGGTGCTTGGACCTTTTGGGAAGCCGTCCAATCCACCTGGCCGAAGACCATCCTCAAGTTGGGCGACGTTGGGCAGCTGCTGGGAAGAAATCTGCTTAATCAGGGATCTACTGAAGCTAATACAGAGGTCTGAATACCTAGTGGTAGTGGTCCCTCATAGCCCCCATACACCCTTATGGCCTCGCACCTAATTCTGATTCTATAGGCCTTGGTTGTTGGATTCATGCTGGCTTTGAGCGTTCCCTGTCGCCAGGGGTACCCAGAGACGAGAGTTTGGCATTTGTGATGATCGGCATGTAGTTTGAACATGTATATAAACCAGAACATATGCATGTGCCTGAAGGCAGTAAGCATGTATGCATGGGCTATACTATACTTTGCTATACTATACTATACTATACTATACTATACTATACTATACTATACTATACTATTATAGTCTATACCTTAACTCTATACTCTATATACTCTATATACTCTATATATTCTATATACTCTCTTTATACTCTATATACTCTATATATACTATGTACTATACTGGCGTGGCATGTATCTGTATTTCCCGGAGAAGTTGATCGGGGCCAAGCAGAGTTTTGAAAAAACCCGGAGGGTTTCTCTGCTGCGAGGGATATTGGTTTCGGGTTTAAGGCTTAGGGTTTAGGTTTTAGGGTTTAGGATTTATGGTTTAGGGTTTAAGGCTTAGGGCATTCAGGGTTAGGACCATGGTTCCGTAGGCATTTTTCGGGATCTTCTGGGAATCCACGGACCTCCTGGGAGTTAGACTCGACAGCTGGGGGGTCATTGCCTGCTTGATTGGGAGGGTTTGGGGGGCTGCCACGGTTTAGGGTTTAGGGTTTAGGGACCATGATTCTTGCCAAGCTCGTTGTTGGCTCACGAGGGTTCGTCCGATGTACCCGAACGCATGTAGACTGCTTTGTTGTAGTATTCAGTTTCGGCAAGCAAGTAAGTAGGAGGCCCACACAGTCTGTATGTGTCGCTCAAGACACTGAGCCTGTTGAAGGCTCGTAGCAAGGCTTAACAGCTTGAAGTGCTGAACCCTTGATTCCCTGCAATGCTAAACCCCTGAACCCCAAAGCCCTGAAGAACCCTGAGGGTAACCAGTAGACAACCCTAATACCCTCAACAGTACCCTTAATAGAACCTTCATCGAACCCTGTGCTAGAACACCAGAAAACAAACACTAAACCCTAGACCACAGCCCATGGGGGGCTTCGGACAGCCTTAGTCACCTTTAGGGTTTAGGGTTTAGGGCAGGGTTTGACCTGTGTGCAGTTAGGGTTTAGGGTTTAGTTAGGGTTTGGCCTATGTGCAGTTAGGGTTTAGGGTTTAGGGCAAAAGAGCCTTTAAACAAAAAAACATCAAAAACAGAGAAGAGCCTTTAAACAAAAAACAACCAAAAGCAGAGACGACGGGCCCGCGCTCCTGCCAAGAGCCCAGGCTCATCTCCCTGCACATGGAGAACCATCGCTGGGACGAGGTCAGGGGTTCGGGGTTTCTTGATTGGTTCCTTTAACGGTTTAGGGTTTGCGGTTTTGGGTGTTGAAAGGTTTGTTATAAAGGGTTGCTCTAAGGGTGATCATAGGGTTCGTGTCGGGTTTTAGAGGGTTCGTTGGTAAGGTTTTCTGCACCCTACCTAGACCGGTAGGGTTTAGCGCGTAGGATTGAGGGCTTAAGGGTTTAGGGTTCAGGGCTTATGGATTTAGGGTTTAGTGGTTTAAGGGTTTAGGGTGTTAGGGTTTTCCGGTTGGGGGGTTGAAGGATTTTTGGTCGAAGTTTTGCTTCAAAGGCTTTGGGCGTCAGGTTGACTCTAAACCCTACGCCCGAAACCCATCATGTCATTGAGGACTTCGGTATCAGGGAGGGCTTGGGCCCTAAGCCCTGAGCCATAAACCCTACCTAGAGGGTCATGCCCTGCCCCTTTTTCAGGGTACACGGTCAGGGCCTGTTACATAGACGAAGTACGTACCCCTCAAAAAAGGGATGGGGTATGAGCCTATAAGTAAACCCTGAACCCAACGATCTGGAGACGATTGGATGTTGACTCGTGGGCTGGAATCGTGGAGACAGCACCGTTTTTTTCCGGTTGCAGCTAGGCTCTTGTTCGAAATTACATGTGGTGCTTTTTTTCCAGCATACTGGACTTCCCTTATTATTATGGGGTCTTAACCGCACATGGTGGTCTAACGTAGTGGTCGGAACATTCCGAAGTAACAGTCCCAAAGAGCCCCCATAAAAGTGGACCATCACGTCCCTGAGAGTCTCTCAAAGTCCCCAGTAAACCCCAAAAATCCTGTCCCCCCCAAAAAAAAATCTGCAAACTCTAAACCAACCCTAAACCCTAAACCCAAAAGGCCCTAAACCCTAACATCTGAGGCCTTCCAGCTCAGCAACATGCATCCAGAATATGCCGCGCAGATCTATCTGCCTTGGGCCATGAGCTTGGTGCACCCGTAGGGTTTAGGGCTTAGGGTTTGGGGTTTAGGGTCAGAGCTTGGTGCACCGTAGGAAGCTATTGTGATTGCTGCGCTGCTCATTGAGAATGCTGAGGGGTTCAGGTGTTAGTCGTCTGCTCTAACTGAATCTAGCTCGTTCCCGGGTCGTTATTTAAACTTAGGGTTCAGGGTTTAGGGTGTAAAGCAATATTAAGAGGATATGGGCAGAAGCACCTTGTTGAGAAGCCGAGATGTTGAACAGTTAGATCAGCACCTAGGAACTTCTGTAGCACCAAAGACCCCGAGCCTCAACATGAAGCACGGCTCGTGGGGAGTAAGGCGCAGTTCCAAAATGGGTTCAGGGTTGAGGGTTTAGGGTTTACACGGATGTGGTGTTGCCTTACTGTCGTGTTGCAGCAAACCACCCCACAAGTTGGAAACTTGTGTCAGGATGAGAAGTGCCGGCATTCCCATATGTT